AGAGGTGGGGATTTTTACCAATTAAAAGTAAAATAATAACAAAACAGTAATTCTGATATATATAAAACATTAATTTTCTCTATGAAAAAGACAACTTCTTGCCTATAGTTTTTGACACAATGACTTCTAAGGGTAACTCCAGGAGTTTTATTACACAAATAAGATTAAAGCAATATTTGTATACTGCTAGATACCCACTAGAAGGCTAAAATTAAAAATTTTAATACTAAGTGGTGGCGAGGATATGTAACAGCTCTCTGATATACTACTGGTGAAAATATAAAATGATGCAACTTTTGAAAACTCTTTGCAGTTTCTTAAAAAGCTAAACATTCGCTTAGCATTTGACCCAGCCATCCACTTTTAGTGATTTCCTAAAAAAATGAAAACATTACTTTACAATGATTTGTACATGAATGCTTATAGCAGATTTATTGTGATACCTAAAATCTTGAAACAACCCCATGTCCGTCACCATGTGAATGACTAAACAAGAAGTGATACGGCCAAACAACAGAACATTACTTGTCTATAAATGCAAATGAAATACTGAAACACGTAACGTGTGGATATCGAAAATCATTATACTGAGTTACAAAAATGGACAAAAAGAGTACATAGTGTTTAATTCCAGTTATGAAATACTCTAAAAAATGCAAACTAATTTACAGTGACATCAAATAAATCAGTGGTTGCCTGGAGATCTGGGTTGAAAACAGGGATAGGTCGCCAAGGGGCACAGGAAATCTCCGGATGTTATGAAAATATGTAATATATTGGTTATGGTAATGGCATCAGCAATGTATAAATATGTTAATAAATACATGTATTTCATCGTACATATATCTCAATAAAGTAGAAACTTTTTTAACTTAAAAAATATACAAGACATAGGACAAGTCTCTAATATTAATAGAGGACAAAAACATCAAATGCTATGTTTATTCTCTTGATAAATTATTTAGACAATCATGCAACTTTTAAACATCTTTTCAGGATAACACATTGATTGCTAATAAAAAATAAAGTAATAAATAAAAGCATAATTGCAGAAATCATGGAACCCCGGGAAGACCACAGGTTCGGATCTGGTCAGCCTTGGCCCTAAGACCAGACATTGCCATTTATTTTCTGTGGCAATGAACTTAATCAGAAATTCCCCATTCCCACTTTCACACTGACTTGTTTTATGTAAAAAGTCATGGAAAAGGAAATCTTGCTAGGAGACTTCCTCCAATTGTCCCATCTCCCATTTAGGAACTGATATAATAAAAGTATTTATTTTTGTCTCTGCAGGACCTGATTACGGATCTGAAGGAGCGGCTTTCTCATCACTTCAAGCAGGTGATGGTTGGTCTCATGTACCCACCGCCGTGTTACGACGCTCATGAGCTCTGGCACGCTATGAAGGTAGAGATCCGACCCAAATACACCTGTAACGGCCACAGGCCAGCACTTCAGTGGAGGGGAAGCTGCCCAGTGATACCCCCACATACGTAGAAGATGGAAGAGAGGAGGTATCTAAGCAATGAGGTAACCATGGAAATGTGGCCAGAGGAAGTGGCCTTGGTAGCAAGGCGGAGCCTCCAGAGCCGTACTGGGTCCACCTGCTCTGTGCCGTGTAGACTCGGACCTCCTGGGCCAGCTCCACGTTGAGCTGCCTCAAGGAAAGAACTAATAAGCCTCCAGGGAGATTCCGACCCGCCTCTCCCCGGTATGGGTTTGTATGTTGAGGAGAGCATGTTAAAAGTCATGGAAATCTTTTAAAACTATGTGTTAAAATTTGGTTCAAGCCAAAATAGGATATCGGATCAGAGACAGTATATAAATGACATCTTTATTTTTATGACCTTAAATTAGTCCTTTCCAAAAATGACTGCTCAAATGTATCACAGTTTTACTTTTGAACAATTAGAATAATTCTTTCTTACGGGAAAGTCATTTCCATGAAATGAATTAGCTATGGATTTGTTACAGATTTCGTTGCCTAGGGACGGGGAACAAAGAGGGTCTTTCACTTCTTAACAAATGCTGACATTAAGACCTGCAGAATTGTCGAAATAATGCCAGCATGATGCTCGCCAGTGACCAGATCGCCACAATGTGCGAACAGTGTGTGACAGGAAAGAGGCAACAGAAAAAACCCACAGAAACGTGGATTTTGGCCATCATGTTTACTGATCAGAATAGGCATTGTCTAAAATTCATGTGAATCTTAACTAATCACTTTTAACAAATGTTGCGTATCAATTTCTACCTCTTGCAAAATTATATGACTAAAAATTATAAGAATCAAGTCCTGTGCTGCTGCTCAGATGAAGCTGGCGTATTTTATCCGCAGTTCACAGATGGGGAGGTCAAACGGGCCTCTCCTGAGAAGATGCACTGTCTTTAAGACCACGGGCACCAACGATTACTAATGCACGCATCTGTCTGTAAGAGACCCCGGAAAGCAGATGTTTAGACAAGTTGTACAAAATTGCACATCTAGGGAGAGGCAGGGACGGGTCCCCGAAACGTTCCTGGGAGATTAGAAGGCCTGTTTTCTGATTTAGCTTGCGGAAGAACTGATAGTCCAAGAACAAATGCAAATGCTCGGTGCCACGAGCACGGCTTAAACATTTTTTTTCACATTGTTTAGAAATCCCTACACTGCTGTATTCTAAAGGAAGGAACAGTTTCCTTCAGATAATGTTATCTCCTCAGGGCCAGACAGCTAGCGAGTGGCAGAGCCAGACAGAAATCGGGCCTCTCCTTGTCCCAAACAAACTTCCTTTTCCTTCCGCCACGGCGCGGAACACCGCGTGTGCGGTCCCGCTGTTCCCCACGCGGTGCACTGTTATCCCAGTAAAAGTGCTGTTGTGTTTCTCTCGTTTTCCATTTTCCCAGGGAGCGGGCACCGATGAGAATTGCCTCATTGATATATTAGCTTCAAGAACAAATGGAGAAATTTTCCAGATGCGAGAAGCCTACAGTTTGCGTAAGGAAACATACATATGTGAATGCATTTTACACACACATGAACTTCATATTTTTTAAATAACATAAAATATTCCGGTTTATGTATTTTGAAGAATTTTCTAAGATACTCTTACATTTGAAATATGACTCACAAGACCAATTAACTCATTATGTAAAACTGATGATTAGTGTAATTCAAAATGAAACAATTCCCCAGACAATCGAGTAAGCAAATTTTCCAGGAAAATAATGACAAGTCTCTATGAGGTGAATGTTTTCATTAAGACAGGAAAGTCCCCAGCGCCGTGTTCAGGAGGCATTGTGTCTCTTACCCAGGAGAGACGCAGTACATAAAATAAAGCAAAGTGCAATAATCTCTCAGTGAATTCGACAAACACATCTCCTTTGCTTTACATAAATTTCATTATCCCTGTAATCTGCCTCAAAATCAGATTTCTGCACATTCAAAGTAGACAGGGTAACTATATCTACTTTTGCAAAATGGTTAATGCCTTAAGTTCCATTACGTTAAGGGTTATATAACATTGAACGTCAAGAAAATGTTTCAGACAGTCACCTCTACTGCATTTGAACAAAAAGAAGACTTTTCCAAGGCAATGAAGTGAGAACCTTCACTTCAAACATTAAAATGAGAGGAAGTATTTGGGAAGGTGGTCGGCTGGCTGCAGTCTATGGAAACAGAATGCACAATTCTGAATTTTGAGAATTAGAGAATATGAAATGACTCTCAATCCTGTTTTTTAATTTTGGAATAAAGATTTTTTTTAAAAAAATAGACCTATACCCGTGTTACCACCAGGTGACAGATTTCTTTGGGGGACAGTTAATCAACAAAGAAATGTCAACAGATTGGCAGTATTGGCTGGACTTTGCACTCACTACCGGGGAAGCCGCGTTAACTTATCCAAAGCACACTGATTCGTGGTTCTGTAATAAATCATATTTTCAACATGGTTTCTTGTGCAGAGTACAGCAGTAACCTTCAAGAGGACATTTATTCGGAGACCTCAGGACACTTCAGAGACACGCTCATGAATTTGGCCCAGGTATGGCATTCCCAGGTTCATACCATTTCACACTATTGAAAAATAGATATATGTCATCTCCAAAAAGTAGAACAGAAAACCCACTATATTATAGGTCAGTAGTAAATTCTGTGCAATAACCTTTACTGAAGCCCTGTTCAGGGCACTGGGCTGGAAACTTGGTTGTAAAGACAAACACGGGCAACGCGCCAGCTCTGTTCCCAAAAAGCTAAAAATCTACCACACTTCAAATGATTACAAATACACATGTATGTGTAAATAATTGTACAGTCCAAAGGAGTTAAAAGATTAGAATTATTATTAAAGTTACACTCTATAATTCCAATTAGAAATTAATTCCATTTTTTAAAAGTGCTAAGTAAGTTGGGGGTACACTGACTTTTCTAGATTTCTCCTACGCGCCTAGTATTGCGCACGGAGACAAGCATGTTCCTCATTTAATAACAACGAAACACTTGCAATGTAAATATTCTCATGAGCTCTTCAGACATGAAAAAACACAACCAAAATTATAACGTTCTGGCTCTCTGCTCTCTGAAGAGCTAATAAGTAGGAATCCAGAACTTAATTGAATCTCCAGACTCCAAGTGCAGCCTATGATCCCAGGGCTACCTGCAAAAATTCGTGGTACCGTATGTTACCAAAGAGGAACATGACTTCAAGTTAAAATTAGGTTTTGGTTTTGTCATATACCGTATTTTTCTGCACTGACTAAATGGTATGTAATTATTTCCATTCAATTCACATTTCTTTAAAACATTCCACATACTAGCATGCAATATGAATAATATTTTAAGATATAATTATCTTTTGTTTTATGCATATTCTCCTGTGTACCCATCATTCTCTTTAGCAAAGGCATCCAGGAAGGCAGAGAGAAAAAGAGTCAGTGTTCAGCTCTTAATTACTGACAGATATCTAGAAGCCCACAGTGGGGGGAAATGTCTTAAAAGCCAGTATTTTGTTTTGGTTCGGTATTGTATGCATGTGTGTGTGTGTTTTAAATGAAACAAACATTTCTAAATCCCTAAGTCTTGCCTTTATACATCAAAAATATAACTGAGTATTTAGCAAAAAATTTCACTGAAAGCCATAGGTAGATAGAATTGTGTACACGAGAATGTGAAATTTCTCTTGACCACTGTCTGCGGTGTGCACCGTTCCAGGCAGAGTCTGTCCAGATATCTTACAGAAAGGACATGGAATTCCTTCCTAAGGGTTGTGAAATTTGGAGCTGATGAGTTTCATCTGGGTAATTAGGACGCACCAAATCCCTCCACCCTCTTGTTCTCTCTCCCTCTCTTCTCCCCCCCACCTCTATGCGTGCACGTGTATGTATGTGTGCGTGCACATGTTCATAAAACAGCAAGGTACAGACCTTTCCTTCTTGGTTCTGTCATACTCACTTGTGTGTCCTCAGATTTGTCATTCAGCCTTCTTGAGACTCAGGGTTTTGCTCTGTCAATTGAGGGATGTGAACTGACTCTTCTCTAAACTCCCTCCCGAAACAAATGCTCGTTAATTCCTCGGTTGTGATGACCAAGCCCTCTGCCTCCCCGCGCACCTTCTCTTTCGGAATCAAAGGACACACGTTCGCCTTCGTAACGTCATTACAATCCACATACACCCCTTTTGTGAATTGGTTGGGATTGAGGGAATTGCAGCCTAGACGTCTTAGGTATTCATGAAATGGAACGTGTTGAAAATCACTGTCGCATTTTCCAGGAGAGGAGATCTTGGACTGAATCTGTGGAGTGTTTTCCGACAGGGCTGTTCCTAATCGGGACAGCTGAGCCGGACCAGGTCCTTCCCGAGAGCTGACGCCAGTCTCCAAACCGGCTCTCAGCACCTGCTGCCTGCTTTCCTCACACAGGTTCATGAAGGAGCTAATTATCTGTCAAATCATGAAAAATTAGTCACTTAGAGTTTAATTAATCAATACATGCAAATCACACAGGAGACGATAAATGTTTCAGACAGAGAAAGAGTGGAAACTCCCCGATGAGCCGCGCACCCTCCCCGGCTTTCCGGATTCTCCTCTGACAGCCTCTCAGACTCGCACGGCGAGGCCGCTGGGCTGATTTCGCCATCAGCGCTCGTGGCCAGCGCAGTCGGTTCATCTGCTCCGAACAGTCCGCGCCGAACTTCACCCTCACGTGTCTGTCCTTAAACCAGAGTCCGTGCTTACTGTGCTGTTTCTCTGGCATTTACATCCATCAAACGCCGCGTGTGGCTGGCTCTGTCTATGACAAAGTCAGCTTGGCTCGCCCATTTGGGAAAAGCCAAACGACAAACGTACTCATCCACATTTTTAAGTCCAGCCGTCTGCTTAAAGCGCTCTTGCCGATGTGCCGCACAGGAAAACAGATGGGCGCCGTTTCAGGCCGCGTGCAAAACTGCTGTCTTTCCAAACAGGACTTCAGACGTGCAGAGCTGCAGAAGATCCTTCAGTGTTTTTCACAAACTTGGCAAGGGCAGGAGTTTACTTTACATTCTGATGGAGAATCACTAAGAAAACTTCCAGAAAATCTCCCACAGCTGCTGATTGGTCTTTGAAGCCTGCTCGCTGAGAGCGATTTCCTTACCTTTCCGGTAAGGATTTCCTGGGTGCCTCCGACGTGCCAGGCGTGACTTTAGACAGCCGGGCATTAGTTCCAGCCCCGGAGACGCCGCGCCGCAGCAAGGCGGTAAGGACAGTTCAGCATGAGTCTAGCACGCAGGCGCGTGGTGTGGACTGCTGGAGGGCGGCGAAGGACACGGCCCAGCAGGGGGAGAGGAGCCGCAGGGCTGGCACAGAGGGGGCCGAGTGTTGTGTGGCCTGGTCAGGGGAGGGCTCACTGGGAAGAGATTTTAGCAAAGATTTGAATGAAAGTGATTCAAGACACGAGTGGGTGTGCTGGGCTATTCCGGGCGGAGGGCAGAGCTGGAAGAAAAGGTTAAGGCAGGAAAACAGCTGAGAGTTTGAGGAACGGCAGGGAGGCCGGTCGGGGCCATCTGAGCAAGCGGAGGGGATGTGCTAAAGCGGAGGCTGAAGCGATGAGGTCGGAGAAGTAGCGGGCGGTGACATGTTGACTTCTGCAGCCGCCGCAGGGACTCTGCCTCGACTCTGCGTGGGCTGGGCAGCAGCCACTGCTGGGCGAGAGGCAGGAGCCGTGCGACCTCGTGCTTGAGGAACTCACGAGAGATGCTGTGCTGGGAAGAGCCCGCGTGGACCAGGGTGGGAGCGGCGCCATGAAGCCGGGACACGGTGTTCGCGGACACCCGCGCGAGCAAAGTGCGGGAACTGGATGTGTTTTGAAGATAGGGTCTGTGCTATTTCCTGAGGAATTGGATGCGGGATACGAGAGGGAAACAGAGGGATCAAATGTGACGTTCAGATTTTTTAGTCTGAGCAACAGGACGGATGGAGAGAACTGAGACTGTTGGAGGTTTCTGAGGCAGAGACCAGGAATTGGATTTTGAGCATGCTGAGTCTGGCCTGCGTGCCAGGAACCCAGCGGAGATGCGGAGTTCGCAACTGGACATACGCGCCCGAAGTTTAGACGATGGGCCTTCGCCGGCGGGGTAAACCTGGGCATCCTTATGTCAGCAACACGGCTGGAATCCAGTCACAGAACAGAGAAGGTTCCCAAGAAAAGGCGTGTGAAGGCAGACGAGAAGGTGATCGAAGACTGATTACTGCGACCTTCCAAAATGAAGAGACTGAAAAGTAAGAGGAACCCGTTCCCAAGATTGAGGAGCTGCCGATGAAACCGAAGGAAAGAAAACGAGATCGCAGGGTCCTGGAGGCCAAGCGGGCAAGTGCGGCGGGAAGGAGAGGGTGTCGGTTGCATCGGATCCTTCCGGTAGGTCGAGGTGCAGACTGAGGACTGCCACGCTGAGTTTCTGCTACTGCATACACGGCACGTACTCACAGAAGACGGAGCACACTCGTTGCTTTCAGTTACGTGTTGCTTGGGATGCGTAAGAGAGAATTTGGAAAGTGGACAGAAGAGATCGTCGAACAATAATCAGTCTTTAAGGTACGGGAAGAGGACGGTAGCCAGATCTCAGAGCCGCAACAGCCACTGAACCCAACAACTGCTCTTCTCTGACAGTCAGATGCTAAGCAGTTCCCTGGTATCTCTCGGTCCATTTATTTTTATCTCAAAAACAAGGGATGGAACCCCTCGGGTCCCTGCACCTCCATACTTTCATGATTTGGGAATAGCAGCTACCAAGGAAGCCTGTGCTTGCTTTACAGGGAACCAGAGAGGAGGGATACGCAGACCCCGCTGTGGCCGCCCAGGACGCGATGGTAATAGACCGGCTCCCAGACGGACAGTGAGGACCCCTGTGGGATGGGCGGGCTCTGACCCGCCCCCCGCTGCGGTGTTTCAGGTGCTGTGGGAAGCCTGCCAGCAGAAGACGGGGGAGCACAAAACCATGCTGCAGATGATCCTGTGCAACAAGAGCTGCCCGCAGCTGTGGCTGGGTAACTAGCGGCCGCTCCTTGGAGCCGCCCGGCTGACGGCACAGCGAGCAGCAGATAGTTAAGTGGGAAAAAAGGACAATGCCAGAAAGAGAGGAAAGTCAGGCATCTCAAAGGTGCTGATTTTGAATTTTATTTATACAGACATGCCTCGCTTAATGAGGGATAAAGTTTTCTCTGTTATTTTTTCCAATGCAGAATTATGTAACTGTCAAATACTGAACATTTAAACCCTCATCTCTATTTTTGATGGAGAACTTACTCAAATACAGCAACTTCTGAGTGGGTATATTATACGTGGTCTTGAAAGTGTGCCGTGAACGAGATTTACCCAGCCGATGACGCACCAGGTTATTATTACTGATGCGTGACGTGTGCAGTGACGACGGTGCCCTGTTGGTCGCAGAGGTGCACCCACGGTGCTTTGCGCTTGGTCTGGCTTTCCTGAAAGTGCTGCACCTTTCTTTTTCCCTTATTTAAACAACAACGTTTTTGGGTTTTTTTATATATAAAGCACACAAAATTCTATTAAAAAAATTTCAAAATAGCCTATTTTAACCCAACTCCCACTGCTACATTTTATGTCAATAAGAGACAATAACAATAATATACCTCCTTGCTTCTAATTTGCTGTGAGAATGGATGGGAACTACAAGTTGCCTGGATAAAGGCAGATAAGTTGTTGAAATAAGGAAGCTTAATTTAGCACAATTTTAAGTTAATAAACTCTACTCTGTGCCCTAAAGATGATTCTGTATTTCTCAGAATACGTTTCCTAGATTTTATGACCGCTGTTTCAATCACAGCTCAGAGGGCGTTCACACTTCTCCTGTGTGAGCTCTGGTGGAAAGTTCCCTGTCGACTAAGTCTGACTGTCACACGTGCCCTGGGCGACGGGCCGGAGACGCGGCTGGACACCCGCCCCCTCCCCTGAAACCAGTGAGCGAGTGGGTCCCCCTCGAGGCAGCGCTTGGTCCCCGGGACAGCAGAGCAGCGACAGGTCTCTGAACGTTACGATTCATGCTGACTCTACTAATTCAGAGTATTTGCGTCTGTCTCAGCTAATAGTTCTATCAAACACAACCAGGAGCCGTAGTATTTTCAATTACTTTATAGAAAATGGTCATCTTCACACTGGATAGCAATCTAATCAATATTTGTATTTTACGTTTAAAATGTTTACAAAATCTCCTTTGAATTATGCCAATTTGTTGAAGTTTTCCAGGAATTTCAAAATATTTCTGGGCAAGACCTGGTAGACGCCATCAGTGAATGTTACGACGGGTACTTTCAGGAGCTGCTGGCTGCGATTGGTGAGTAATTCTGCGGAGCACAGCGGCCCGGATCCTGCAGTGGACGCTGCCTGGCTCCAGCTGAACTGCAAGTGCACGAGTAACCTCTTGACTGAATCCTTTTCCCCGGAATTTTATTATTTAAAAGGAGTATACACCCTGTAGAAGACAACACATCAGCTTCTGATAAAACGCACTGAACTGACCACCTGATGCTTTCACGAGCCGACGCTCTTCCCTAACAGTGGTTCAGTGTGCGCACCAGGAAACAGTTCTCACACGTTCTCTCTCCGGAATTGGCTCCTTGCCCTGTTCAACCCATTTTGTATTTACTAACTTCCACCGCCTTGGCCAAGAGCAGATACATGCTAGCAACGTGGTTTCCTTCCCTCCAAGAGGAAAAGGGATTTTTTGTTTTCTCTTTTTGTTTTTGTCACCATCTCTAATAAATTTGCTTTTAGGAATAATTCCTACCATAAGAGAGATTGACCACGTAGTGATTTCTGCAGCCTGTGGTGAGAGCGGCACCACCGTCACCACCCCCACTCTTTCCTAAATAAGAAACGGTATCTCTGCGTACAGGGAGAAACAGCGGTAGTTTCCAGAAGAGCTGCAATGGAACTACCCGCATTTTATCTCGTACTGTGCTGTGACCGACTGTGCGATCTTGGGGACTGCAATCTGGGGGTTGTGGAACAGCCCCGTGTGGTTGTGCGTCAAGTAGTCGCTTAGATAGTTGTTGACAGACATGGGCGTGGAGGCTGAGAGACGAGGGTTTTTATAGCTTATTTATGAAGGAGCTTTAATCTGTGGTTCCATGAAAATGGTTTGATGGGTTCTGTGAAAACCCTAAAATAGTCTATAAGACATGACTTTATGTCTGTATATTTTTCTGAGAATAAAGTGCATATATTCCAGCAAATTCTCAACAAAATTTAATTATATATCACATCAAAACCCCTCATTTTACAAACAAAGCACGAGGAGGTTAAGTGGCTGCTCCAAAGTCTATCAGCGGATTAGCCACAGTTGGGACTAGGACTCATGTCGTCCGAGTCTCAAGGTCGCTCTCCTTCCACTACAGATACTGCCACGGAGCAGTGGGCATGAGGGAGAAAACGTCTTAGCTGATTCATTTATTCATCCAGTAAGCATTTATTGAGCACCTGCTGTTTGGTCGCTGGTGTAGGCACTGCAGACAGAACAGCAAAAGAGCAACAAGAGCCCCGGCCCGTGGGAAGCTCAGATTCTAGCAGTGACCGCAGAGCTATAATGGGCTTCACTGTACTGACGAGAAAAGAAAAGATGAGAATATGGTCTCACAATCTAAAATAATTACTTGAACTACAGAGTGAATACTGCTATGGTGATTTTACTTTTATCGATGTATTAATTTGTTTACTTATTCACATACACACTATTGAACGTCTATGGTCATCAGCTGACCTTCATCAAAGACAGCTGTCGGCCAGGCTCTAGGCTGCTCTAAAGCCATCGCAGTTTTGAGTAGGTGACTTCTAAAACTGGTCTAGACCAGTTATGGCCCATACAGTTTCTCCTTAAGAGACTTCAGATCTACTCACACATCCATAAGGGACTGAAAACAGCATTCTAGGAGATGAACCAATTGTGGGGGCTGCGTCACATTGAATCCTACAATAATAAAAGTCTATAATAATATTGAAACTTAGGTCTCCTCGAAGCTCTATTACTTAATTTTAAGATAAAGAGGATAAATTTTTCTTCATTAGACCATATGAAGGAGGTGACAGAATCCTAAGAGATGGGGACAGACCAAATGAAAATCTTCATGAATCATTGTAATATTGTTGCTTTATCTTTTTCTGTGGGTTATGGTGTTACCATTTTTGTAAGTGTTGAATTATAACGCAGTGTGAGGATTATAACAGGAAAAAAAAGAGTGTTCTCATTGTTTCTCAAATTCTGAGGAAAATATGTATCATCACTCTCAATGTTTCTTCTTTTCTCTCTGATTTCTTCTAGTTCTCTGTGTTCGAGACAAACCAGCCTATTTTGCTTATCGATTACACAGTGCAATCCATGTAAGTAAGACACATATATTTTTTAAATTTCTCCAGAAATTGTGTCTGTTTTCTCAAAGGATTCATTTTACTTCCATTATTTTAAATATTTACTTTCTAAGGAAATATGTAAAAGTAAAAAAAATGCATTATACACCAAAAACAGACCTGTCAAATAAAAATGGTACTCTGCTTTCTGTATCAAATCACAGAAGGTACCTAAGCAGTGTGGCTCTCTGGGGTCTGTCTCCCGTGTTTCTCAGAGTTTCTCAGATCTACAGAAACTGGTAAATTCAAATGTTTCCGTATATTTCCAAAGACCCACAAACCATACATGTGCAAGTACAAAGCACATGGCATCAAGTAGAAAATGTCAAAACATTACAAACTCTAAGCAAGAAATTGCTGTATTCCTGAAGCTTTAAAACACAAAATAATGTCAGTGGTTATTTTTAAACATAAAGTGTTATTTTTCAAAAAGCACTTAAAGAGATAGCTAGGCAACAATAAACTCTAAAGCTATTTTGGGAATTAAATAGGGATTTTTTCATACTTTAGTGTAATGTTCAATCACACATCCTTTGGAGCATTCATTTTTAAGAAAACAAACACTTAAGTGTATCAGATAATGCGTACCTTATCCATAATGGTATGAAACATAGAAAAAAAAAGGTCTCATACAGATCATTATCTATGTTTCACAGCCTTGAAAACTCAAAGGAAATTGTTTAAAACAATCCAATATACAGTAATTTTAATAATTAGGGCATTTTGTTCTCAAAGTAATTTTTGCAGGCCAGCTTCTTGAAAGTAGCCAATGTGCTAGGAAAATACAGTAATCTCGTGCAGAGTATATTTAATTTATGCACAAGAAGAACCTATGTACCCTCAGGATGCGGGGGCATGATCAATAATCACAGTTCTCTGCTTCCCTTTTATGCTATTTCCAAGAAGAAAAAGTTAATTTGATTAAAAATTTACGTGAAATAGTGTATTCAGCAAAGCTATAGGATGATTTCAACAGTTTCTTTCTCCAAAGAATCAAATACTGCAACAGCACAATGAAGCTTTACCTGTGAATGACTTTACCCAAATTCAAGGCTACTGATTCTAATAATAAATAAAAACTGTATCCTTGCTGTGTGGGTGTTACAAGGCAAAAAGGAAGGTGTGTGCTCCTAAAAGATCTGGAGGTAAGAGAGGGATTGGATATTCAAGTAATCAAATTTTTGATATATGAGGACTTCGAATGGCAAATATTTGTTAAAAAGCTGCTTTCAACCACCCCGAACCAAAGAAACCTTCTGTGTTTTTCTCTAGTGCACTCTAGGAATGATCTATTACCCAATTTAAATTTGGATGCTTGGATGGGTCATTCATTTCTATCACCTCAAATTATTACATGTTTAGTAGTAGATCTACATCCAAAACATTCAGACATCAAAAATAGATTTTGTTTTCTGGCCACTAGATGTCACGATTACTCCATTTGAAAAGAAAATTTGACCCTGATTTGTTAGCCAGTGTTATTTCTGGGGCTGGTACACAGGCATTGATTTCTTATTTTTTAGTATTTGAATTTAAATCAGCAAATATTTGAAGCACCTAGAATTATAACTTTTACAATTTTTCAATAAGCAGACTATAAAATGAAAATATAATTGCTGTCTTCGACCTGTCAATGTTCACCTGAGTTCACAACGCCCCTCACCACGGGAAGAACTTTTACCTAGAAAGACCACACGGCCAGATGTGCACTTTCTAATGCAGGACGAAGGAGACAGTATGAAGCTTGACAAGGCTGAAAAAGGGAGAAACTGTTGCCGAACCAGGGTGAAATGGTCAGGGTCAGAGCACTGGAGCAGAGATGCCAAGGCATTTAAGAAGTAAAGTAGAAGAGAGTAGCTCATTTTCAGTACGCAGTGAGGGAGAGGGGGAGTCACAGAGGGGACTCCCAGTGTCAGATCTGGGTGCAGGGTGGACAGTGAGGCCAGTGTTTGAGGAAAACAGCAAGAGAAGCAAATTGCTGCAGAGAAGGGGTGCGTCCATTTGGGATTGACTTTAAGGCACCATCTTCTCATCCCCTGCTTTTCTGTGTCTTGCAGGACTTTGGTTTCCATAATAAAACCATAATCAGGATTCTCATTGCCAGGAGTGAAATAGACCTGCTGACCATAAGGAAACGCTACAAAGAGCGATATGGAAAATCCCTATTTCATGATATCAAAGTAAGTCTCCTACATGTGATTTATTTTGACCCATATTTTATCTTTTCTGAAACTGAGATAAGAGCTTCATTTACACTTCATGGTGGAGTCTTCAAAGTTAAGTATTCAGACAGGGATAATCTGCTTAATCCTCCAGACAGCAATTAGTGCATCCACAGGTGCTAACTTAGAAAATCCCTTCGCCTCATTGACAAAAGTGATTCCTCTTTGATGTGTTTTGAGCAAAATCTTTAATGTAGTCATGTTAAATATTCATTCTCTGCAATTTGCTTGAAGAGCTAAATTCTCAAGTATGATCAGCATTAAACCAAGCACAAGGACGTAACAACACATCTTACCTTGTGTTTTGCACATAGCTAAATGCTGTTACCTCTTAGGGATTGTTTTCAACTGAAATTTTTAATTGCAAGAAACAGCTTTTTAGTTTAGTGAAAGACTGACCCAGGAGCGACTCGATGGCCCAAGGACCAAGAGACCACACATCGCAGAGACTTTGCGGGTGCTGGGGAGGCTGAGGTGGTTTCCAAGAGGAAGAGTTGAGGCAGCAGTTGAGAGAAATCTTACTCTCCTTGCTGCCACCTTCAAAACCCCAGATGCTTTAAGTGAAAAGAAACATTTTCCATTAAGAAATGCATGTTACAATTTATTTTCTAGATGAATAAATTCGTTTACTGTAATTAATCACAACCATCTCAAGTCTGCTAATATTTACATATGATTAATGCAACTTTATTATAGGCATTTAAAACAGTGAATTATAATTACATGACTTTGTATAAAAGAACATTAATATAATAGTTGATTTTAACAAAGATAAACTTTATAATAATATTTATTTATCACTATTTTTTTTGGAAGATTTAGAAACTAAAGATTTAGACCAGATAAAGAAAATAGAAATTGCCCTAATTCTCTACCACAGATAACCAGTGATAGAATTTTCTTGTAGGTGTTGCTATGGTCTGAATATTTGTGTCCCCCCGAAATTCACAGGCTGAAATTCTAAGCCCCAAGGTGATGGCATTAGGAGGTGGGGCCTTTGGGAGGTGATTAGGTCATACAGGTGGAGTTGTAAATGGGATTAGTGTCCCTATGAAATAGGCCCGAGGGAGCACCTCTGTGCTTCCTGCCAGGGGAGGTTAGAGTGAGAAGGATGCCGTCCGTGCGGAAGCAGGCCCCGAGCCCACACCAAACCTGCGGCACCTTGATCTTGGCCTCCAGCACCGTGAGAAATAAACTCCTGCTGTTTGGAAGCCACCCAGCTTAGGGTATTTTGTTATAGAGGCTTGAATGGACTAAGACAGGTACTTTAGGTCTTTTTCTTCAAACATATAAGCAACAATATGTTTTACTGCCTACCGGAATATTTTTATTGAATCATGGTATCCTGTTGTATAAACTGTCAAGTGCTTAAACTATCTCTCATTATTATACATTGCTTTTCAGTTTTTCACTATTATGCATAATATTATGGTATATATATTTTTAGCATAAATATTTGTGCTCATGAATAATTGATAACTTTCTTGAATACATTTATTAAGGTAGAATTACTGCATTAATAAATATAAACTTTTAAAATCTTTTGAGACATTGTCAACTCGCTGTCTAGACTACACTGATGTATAAGGATAATAATAGGGCACTTTCTAAGGTTGAGTAGATTTAATTCTAATGCAAGTTACTGTTCTTATACATTATGGTTCAATCAACTTTATATAGAATACATACTCTTGCCTATAACCATGGTATTATTTTTCAATAACTTTCGTTGAGACTAGTGCTTAGGAAATATTAAATGTTTAGAGGAGAAAAGTAAATGATTCTGGAAAGGCTAATGGCCCATAGCTCTTTCCTAGTGCCGTTCAGAGGAATTATGGTTCTTTTTAAGAAATACCATGACATTTTATTTCAAATACCTTATATTTTTTTCTTTTCAGAATTTTGCTTCTGGGCATTACGAGAAGGCGCTGCTCGCGCTCTGCGCAGGCGACGCGGACGACTACTGAGGAGAGAGGAGGGCGAGGCCCGCGCGCCCCTCTTTACAGACACGTCCACACGGAGATTTTTCTGACAAATCTGTGCTGTCAGTAGCACCATAACTAAAGTATAGAACCATATTTTCTCTTTTATCTTTGAAATTATTCCAAGCTAAAAATAAAAACTATTGATGAAAGTGTATGATACTGGCTTTGCCTAATTTATCTAATCAGCAATTATATAAATAGTGCATAAGGAAATAATTTAAAAATTGCATTGGAATAGATTTCATTTCAATGTGAACCATCCACACCCTACAACAAGACAGTCTGCTCAAGGCTGTCCTAGCATGATTTGGGAGACCAGTAAAAATGCAGTGTGTGATGTTCTCCTTAGAATTTTATGACTCTTGTGCAAACACAGTAAGGCAAACATGAACATCTAAAGCAGACTTCAAAAGAAAATAAAGATATCAAATAGCAAAATGCAGCCAGATATGTGCTTGTCTGGATTAGATGGACAAGAGACTTGGATGTAAAAATATGTGTGTGTGTGCGTGCGTGCGTGTGTGTGCGTGTGTATGTATGTGTATTTGACAACCACTCTGGTAAAGGCAAGTTATCTCCAGCTAATTTTTCTATTTTTGAGTCGGTTCCTAACCAACCACCCGCCGAGGCTATGACAGAAAAGTCACTGCTCACTGTTTTTGGCTTCACTTCCTTCCATCAGCATCGAAGACTCTTGGAAATTAGTCACATGCTTTGTGCCACCCGTAGAGCGTGGTCTCTCCTGTTTCTCAAGAGTCGGCAAACTGGGAATGACGAAGGAGAACACTCGGAGGTCAGGTTGGGGGAGAACCTAAACTGAAGCACAGTACAGCCAGGCATGAAAGCAGAGGCGGGTGGGAGAGGACGGAGGACGCCCAGTCTGGGCAAGGGCCACACGGGGGACCGCAGGGAGCGTGGCTGGGAGGGCCGGCGGAGCCGTGGGTCCGGATGAGCCGCTGCAGGTGGGGGAAGCGCTTAACTCCAAGCGGAAGCTCTCAGTAGCCGTGACCACTCCCGGTGGGGCCAAAGTGCTCAGAGCCCCGCGTCTGACAGAGCGATGGAGCGGGACGTTTGGGGCACAGAGACTGAGCACAACAAACATTTAATGGACTTCAGAAATAACTTTCAAGATTTCAACTTACTGCTCTGTATATGATATTATATCATTTTAAACTAGTTTGATTTCGGTCTTTCAAAAAATCATAATTAACATTTCAAGCCCAAAATAGTAACCGTTTCAGACATTTAGCACAGGTTTTACTTTTGCCAGCTAAAATTCTCACAGAAGGAAAATGTTAGCGTTCCTTTAGAGAATTTAGATATGCTTTGAAAAAGACTTTCTTTCTAGAAGCAGCTCGAAAATTATGAAACCCATACGTCATCCAGGCAATATATTTTATTTCTTTGGCATAGCACGGCTTCCGCTGAAGCTCAGGAAACTCAAGGTTAAGAAATTTAAAAAGATATCTGGACTTAGGTGAAGGGAAAGGGCTTTATTCGGAAAGGCTGTTTCCGGCAGGGAATGGGGAGGTTGTCGTGATGGGGGGACCACGGCGACAGGCAGACGCCCCGACCACCAGATCTGCCGGGGAATCAGTTTGGCCAGAGGAGGATTTGTCTTTCACAGGAACGAGTAAAGAAGACCGGAAAGAGCCGGCTGGGAGAGTGGGATGATCGTGCGGCGTGACGGGAGGGCTCGCTGGGGGTGTCTTGGTTCATATTCTGAGCTACGCGGATGGGAGCTTGGACGGCGCATCTGGGACAGCAGATCCGAGAAAGCCACCAGGCAGCCTTGGGAGGGTCGCTGAGGAGAAGCTGCTGAGCAGCTCAGGCTCAGGCCAAGGCCGGTCGAGGTTTGGGAAGGTGGAGGGAGGGAGAAGCCCGACCAAAGGTCGAGCCAAGCTCACTGGAATTCTGTCCGGGTCGGTGGGTGGGGAAATAGTTTGGCTGATCCCTTCTGAGACAAAGAATAGAGATTTGGAGGCTGTGTCAGGCACCCTGACAGAAAAACAAAGCAGTAATCTGCAAGTCTTACCTGCGTCATCTGAGAAAGGTCATTCTTACAAAGCCATTTCCTGAAACACGGGGTGGGGGGATTCCTGACTGTCTCAGTTTTCCAGGAACACAGCACGTGGGCAAAGTTTAACAATGTCAGTGTCTTCGTTTTTCCAAAGTTTTCTGCTGAATGTTTCATTTAGTTGTTTAAATGCCAACAGAACATTGTCATTTTCATCAACACATAATTCACTTAGTGAAATCCTGAAAAAAAATAAAGTGTTTAAATTACCAGTTACCCGTGTTTAGCTTGTTACATAATCATCACAGCAGAAAAGGGTCTGTACCTGATGGGCTGAAGCGCAGGTGGGCAAGGTCTCTGATTAAGTGAAAAGCATCTCCCATATTTATCCTGTAGGAAAAAAAAAAAGACAAAGTGACACATAAGGTAATAAATTTGTTTCCGGTGCACGCCCGGCCTAAAGCAAACGATGAACAGCCAGAGGCACCAGGAACCAGCTATGGAAGACCACCCGGAAGCGATAGCCCCCTTTGCGTCCAGTATTTTATTATCTATTGTCAGTTTAGCTCTGTAAAGACAAATAAAAATCTCAGGACCCCCCCACCCCAGACTCCCTGTGCATAAGGGAAGGTCGGGGCTGGAGCTGAGTCTGCAACACCCCCTGCAGGTGAAGGGCTGTGATTAACACTGTGCGTTACTCAGACCCCACAGAAAGGTGAAAGCCTCAGGCATCCCCCAGGACGGCCCCCACGGAGCATCCGGCAGGAAATTCCTTGCTGGCCTCCCATAAACGAGGATGTGCCGACTGTAACTCTGGGCCTGAAGTCCAAGTCCAGCTCCCAGCACTGGCGACTGTTTGATTCCACACCGCTGATGCGGACGCCAAGCTCACCTTCCCAGGAGCAGAGCACAGACGAGATGGATCATTCTCCCACCTACTCAGCATAACTGAGTCTTCCTTTCCTCCTTTTCTCTCGTCAAACATGCACCTCTTCTGTGTAAAATGCAGATTTCCTGGCACTAATGAAAGTCTCACCATAACGTAACCATTAACTCTATGCGCCTTTTCCTACATGCTTCACCCGCTCTCAGGAGACGATAACAACCAAACCTCCTGAAAACCCCTCCGGGAAAAACAGCCACAGGTGTGTCTCTGGCCTGGCGTTTTCCTGGGCGTGTCCTAACGTGGCTTGAGAACCCTGGACTGATTGAGACCCTTCCTCACTCACTGTGTCACTCGTCAGCCCTCAGGTGATTAGACTAGTAGGAAGCTAATCATTTGACTAAGAAAATACAACTTTTAGGGCTTTTGTATATGCGCATGTTAACATTCCAGAGTTAAAGATTTAACATGCATCAAAAATTACGCCGACTATGAATGGTGTCTATACAGATGGCAGAGCAGGCAGCTCTGACGGCCGAACCTCTGCAGAAACGTTGCAGAAACGTGAGAAAGTCAAGCAAACGCTGCAACAATCAGCTTTCTCAGCCTCTAGAAAACAGTCAGAGGTTTAACTCTGAGCCATAAAGAAGGCAAGAAACTTTGTGGCATGTTATTTGCTCTTTGCCCACTCTTTATCCCGCCTGGCTCGGTGGCAGTCCTGAGGGCAGCAGCTCGTGTCCCCAGTGTGGGGACTTTGCTCCCCGGCTGCAGGGGGAGCAGAGCTGGCCTTACTAAAAAGAATGCGTGAGTTTGTGCTGACGTGTCCGGAGGCTGCCCGAAGGGCCCGGTGAGACTCCTGCCTTTGTCCTGCCTTTGCAGAGCTCGCTGGGGGGGTGCAGTTGGCTTTCCCTGAAAACACCCTTAGGGAGCTAACAACCTGCAGCTGCTTGTGGCAAAGGTTTCAGGTGGGGCATAAAATAGAGAACTGAAAACCTGCCAGGAAAAGATAGAATTCCTCTGAGAATAAAGGGCATTCTAAAGCCCAAGTGTTTGCCAGCGAATTAAAAAGCTGTGCACACACTTAAGGCAGAACCGACGCTCAGAAAAGACCTGACAAGGCTCTGATATCTCAACTCTAGCTGGTCCCTAGGAACCGTGCAAGCGGGAGGTGAGGGCAGGCCGAGTGGCAAACGGGCTGCACGGCTGAGACTCCACGGAACGCCGCAGGCAGCCGCAACACGACGGCAAGTGTTCGCGCATCTCAATGCATCTAAACACAGACAACACGCAGTAAAAACACAGCATAAAAGACAAAAAATGGTGCACCTGTGTGGGGCACATGCCACGGATGAGAGCTGGCGGGACCGGCAGCGGCTCTGGGGGAGTGGGCGCGGGCCCGGACGTCGCTGCGCACCGGTGCAGGCTGTGTAGACACTGCGCACACGTAACTTGCGCTGAACTTACAAAAAGTGGTTTTCTTTCTTCAACAATAAATTAACCTTAGCTTACTGCAATTTTTTTTACTATATAAACTTTCAAGTTCTTGTTAACTTTTTGACTCCTTCGTGATAACAGCTTAAAACACGTGCATTACACGGCTTTCTTTCTTTATATCCTTATTCTGTTCGCATTTTTCCGTTTAAAATTTTTTAAAACTTTTTAG